CCCCCCTCCCTCTCTCCCTTTTCTCGACGCTCATGCTCGTTCATCGACTATCCCCTTCTTCCTGCTGTACTAGATTTTTTTCCGAGGCAAGTTTGTCGAGCGATCGCATTCGTTACGCGGCGGCCGTCGCTTCTTGAAAAGGCAGTTTGTCTCTCGAGCTGCGCTTCTCACACCGTAGACGACCTCGCCTTCGATTCGCGGTTTTTTCCCCCCCTCATTCTCCACCTCCCTTTTTCTTTTTTAGCGCGCGACGGCCACGTGCAAGAACACGTTTGCATTAAGGTCGGACGGCCGATTCGCGCGAGATGTGCACGCGTACGACGAGTCTCGCTTTGTGTCGTCATTTATCGGGTATATCTCGGCGGTATAAATCTGTCCGCGCGGATATCTGCAATTAAGAAGCTGTAAAAAAAGACCGGGACTTTTTGCGATTCAGTTTTACACCGAGCATCGTCCGGAATCGTCTGGACGTCTTCTTCGTTAAAGAGAAAATATGAAACACGCATTAAATATTTTTTGCTCCAACTTTTATTATCGCAAAAACCGAGCTCGCTGATTCTCAGCGCGCTGATAAATATATAATAATAATCTTGGTCTTTTTTTCTTCCTCGACACACACTCGCGAATTGCTGCAGCTTTATCTCTCTCTCTTTTCTTTGACAAGAGCTCGCGATGTCGTTACCGTAACGTACATTCGATACTCGTGTTCTTTGATGCCTCATGAACGCAGGTGTCCGTACCTCGGCGAATTTAGGCACCCCTCCCCCTCCTCCTAACCCCCTAACCTTGAGCGTCGCATCGCCTCGAGCCTGCACGCTAATTAGCCTGTAGTTTCACGCGTGTTTGACTTTCTCAACTAGCGCGGCTCGTCGGAAACGAGAGGTGTCTCCGTCGCGTATCGCCTCGGCGAGATCGCGGTGTAAACTGCCGGGAGCAATTAAGACACTCGTTAATTACCGTTTTAACCTGCATCAAGGTGCGTGTCGCCGCTCTTCAACACAATGGGAATTCACGAAGAAAGGCACGCGTACTGTTCATCAGATATCCGGTTAGCTACCTGCGTTCGCCGTGTACCTCTCTCGTGTCGTGTGTGCGATAGGCGACGTGCGTGCGCGTTCGCATATTCCACGAGTCGGAGCGACGACGTTGCATCGATAGATCCAACCTGCTCGTTATTTAAAAAAAATGTTGAACAGCTAAACGTTAGTCAAGGAGTCAAATTTACGCGACATTGTTTCCGCTTGAACGCGTTTCTTTACATTCGTCGTCATCGGACTTTCCCCCGTCTGGAATCGTGATGTTCGCGTTATCGGAGTTTATCGTGCTCGATTCGATACTTATCGAAGTATGTGCCGTGCCACCTGCACTACTTTCTTTGTGCGATCGTTACTCGCGGCGGCTTACTCACTGCGAATGTCTCATGCGGGAAAGAAAGAGATCGCGTGAACTTACTTATCTTTTCTCTTCCATGGAACTTTTACGCGATACACCGGTCTGTCCGATTCGTCATCTAATAAATGACGCGTATTGTTGAATCGAGGTTGCTATAGACCATGTGCAAAGACGACTGCACGAAACTACGGTCCCGGTTAATAAACAGATCGATAACATTGATCGCTCTTACGACACTTTTCCGAGCCGAACGCGCGAAGCGTAACGTGGTAAAGCATTCTCTCGACGGCCGAGTCGCTAATACCGACAGGAGAATCGAGTTTCGTATTTTTCAAACGTATCAGGTTTCTTTCAAGGGAAAATTCATCGCACAGCGAGTTCTCATTAGAGAACGTAAATGAGGATATATTTCAGATTGTTCTCTATTAGATGAATATATTGATTTAATTAAATTAATTTTTCTTCGATTTGGTTTAAAAGCGTTCGTACATTTCGACTTGCAGAGAGAAACGATACGGATGTTTTGACTTAATAATATGTTAATGTAATTTTTAATTCGGGAAACGCAGTCAACTGTTAATATCAGATGTTAAATATTTGCTTGTGTAAAATTTAATTTTCGCACATTATTTGAGAAAGTTGATTCAAATTTTTCCTGATACATAAGCTAATTGCGAAAAATATAGATTCATTATATTAATCTACATTTTAAATAATATTAATTGTAATAGTTCTGAAATTTTGAAAATTTAATTCCTGTTTCGGACCGATTCGTAACAGGTGGTAATGAGACTGCTCTACAGTCGCAACGCTCCTCGGCCGATGGGCCAATAGCGGGCATCATGACATCAACACGACGTCACGCTTCAATCACGGGATCACCGAATGTTCGAAAAACAAATGGAATCGTTCTAGAACGCTCGATGATCCTAATAAATAAAACAAACCCAAGGTTATCGAGTGTTAGTTTTCCAGAACATTCGCTGACAAACATGATAAAAGGAGATCGCCGGCTCACTCGATAACAAGTCTTGCAGATCTCCATTTTTCATGCTCGACGGAAGTTTTAGTAGTGTTATTCCCGCCACGCGTAATCAATCAGAATTCAGCGTTTTTGTAATTCTATATACGTATCATTTATTAAAATTTACGTAAGAAACGCAGTCGGAACGTCGTTGAACAAGAAGCTTGTTATGAAGAACATTCGTAAGTGCTGTCCGTTACATGTAGTGTCCGCTTTGTGAAAGAACCAATCTGAGTATTCGAGTGAGTGAACAATCCCAAAAACTTGGTGATTTTCTCAACATATCGACAACGTAATGAATTTTTTCATCACGCTTATTTTCGAATCTTTAATCAAATGTTTATGATATCGAACAAAGTGTTTTCGAAAGGAAGAAAAATTGACGTTGATAACTTTACGAATACTTACTTAATTGAGATCGAGTTTATTTGAATACACTGAGACTAGTTCGATCGTTCATACCGGAAGAAAACGGACAGGTGAAAATTTGTGTCGACTACTCCACCAAATTATCATTAAAGATCGTATAAAAGTACGCGAGATTTACGCAGATGTTTCCAATCTTCCTCTGGGAAGGGGGGAGGGGAGGGGGCAGTGTTATGAACCGAGATTGACATCGAGTAAAATCGACGGTGGAAGGGAGACACCGGGGTAATCCGAGCAGGAGGAGGAAATGGGTCTTTGGGAAATAAGAAAACTTTTGTTCCCGATCGGCAGTTACCATCGGCATCGCGATAAGAGACGTGAGAGAGCGAAAGAGAGACGATCGCTCCGTTTTTTCCCCTTCGCCACCCTTCGCTTTTCCCAACGCGGCGGCCTCTCCCGCCGGCTGCACGAGGTCGGCCGTTTCATTTTCTTAAGAGGGAGAGGGAGTCGCGTCGGGGGGCACGTTTCAAAGGCACCCGGTCCCCCCCCCACGCTCGATAAATCGTACATTCCTTCCTCTCGTGCCGCCGCTGCTGCCGTCGCGATCTCGTTACTTTCGTCCTGCTATGTTCGTCGGATTCTGCAAGTATTCTGCAAGTGAACTTTTGTGAACGATCGGCAAGAAGTACCGATCGCACAGAAGAAGTACTTACATTCCATTAGAGAGAGAGACATCATTTAGAGGCCTTTGCCTTCGACGTTACGATGATGCGCTTTCGTTCGTCAAGTCGGGAAACTTCATTATCGATACTCTCCCTTATATCGTATTATTTGTCTCTTATTCTTCACATTAAGGGTTGCTTTCAACGGAATTCCCAGATGCGCGGTTACAACATTACTACGTTATTATCACTCATTATCATCCTCATCGTATTCGATTCTTATCGTCAGTCATTGTCGGCGATAATAGCTCCGTGTCGTTGCGCTAATTACACCTTTTCCTTCGATCGAAAGTAGATTACATCGCGTGCAGGAGGTGCTCTCACCTTGACTCCGAGCGGATAATCGTTACAATTATGCACGCTGTCTCATGCGTGTAACGCGTCCTAACGGATAATGGTTACGTTAAAACGACCGAGCGCGTCTGTTGCACGGGAGCAGCGAGACACGAAAGGATCGAACATGGGAACGATCGTAATTTCGTCTACGGGACCGCTGTCCAGGTCGCGCGACCGAGCGATAGACTGCGCGAAAGCAAGCCGGAACAAGGCGGATCAATGCAATCCCGCTATGCTCCTTCGCAAACATTTTTTTTATTCGTAGGCGCTTCCACCATTACTGAGCAACCTTCCACCCTTATCACCCCTGTTAGGCACATCGCGGGTATAAATAGATCCGGGGGGGTTCCTCGGCCGTATTTAGACGAGAGTTACCGTCGGAGATGACAACCGCCGATCTTCGGCTGATCTTTTGCAGGCCTGGGCGAAACTCTGGGAAGAGGAGACCGCCTCCGCCAGGATCGTCGGGCAGCGCGGAGGGGGAGGAGGAGGTGGTGGTGGAGGAGGAAGGCGCGACGGAGGCCGTAGCGCGGAAGTAGAGTAGGCGATGTCAGTCTTCCCGGCAACAACGACGGGCACGGCAACAACCACGATAAGAACAGCAGCGACGACGATGGGGAGGACGACGACGACGACGCGGTCGGCGTCTCGGCCGCGCCGACCTAGCTGGTGGTACCCGATCCTGACGTTGCTGCTCCTGCCGACGGTGCGCGCCCTGCCGGCCGACATAGTGCAGAAGTTCCACGACTCCGAGGTGGAGCGCATGAACCACCTGGTGGTGGACAAGAACACCGGCCGGGTGTACGTAGGCGCGGTGAATCGGCTCTACCAGCTGTCGCCGGACCTGCTGTTGGTCGTGAAGGAGGTGACCGGTCCGAAAGGCGACTCCACGGCGTGCTCGATGCTGGACTGTCCGCGTGAGGCGCAGAAGCGGCCGGTCGACAACGTGAACAAGGCCCTGGTGATCGACTACACCACCACGCGGCTCATCTCCTGCGGTAGTCTGTTCCAGGGCATGTGCACGGTGCGCAACCTGCACAACATCTCGGACGTCGTGCAGGAAGTGAAGGAGGCGGTGGTGGCGAATAACGCGACCGCTTCTACGGTGGCGTTCATTGCGCCAGGGCCGCCGAATCCGCCGGTCTCCCAGGTTATGTACGTCGGCGTGACCTTCACCGGGAACTCACCGTACCGCTCGGAAGTGCCGGCGGTGAGCTCGCGCTCCCTCGACAAGGACAAGATGTTGAACATCGCCGAGGCGGCGGTCACCACCGGCACGAGGATGTACGTGAACTCGTTGTCGCGCGAGCGCTACCCCATCAATTACATCTACGGGTTCAGCAGCGGCGGCTTCAGCTACTTCCTCACCACGCAGATGAAGAACACGGAGACGCCGATCTACCTGTCGAAGTTGGTGCGCGTGTGCCAGGACGACGAGCACTATTACTCGTACACGGAGATACCGATCAACTGCACCAGCGACGAGAGGATCTACAATCTGGTGCAGGCGGCCTACGTCGGCAAGGCCGGCTCGGTCCTCGCCGGCGACCTCGGCATCACCGCCCAGGACGACGTGCTGTTCGCGGTGTTCGCCGAGAGCGACGGGCCCAACAGCGACGTGCCGCGCCCGCACTCGGCCCTCTGCGTCTACTCTCTCAAGGCGATCCGCCGGAAGTTCATGAGCAACATACAGAAGTGCTTCAGCGGGGAGGGGCAGCGGGGCCTGGAGTTCATCTCGCCGAGTCACAAGTGCATATCAACGGTGAGTCACTTTGAAACGGCCTTAATGTCCGCGAATTTCTCGATATGTGTCTCGCGTTGTCGGTGGAAGAATAGAGAAGCGCTTCGATGTCGGAGACGCGAGGTACCGTGTAGAGGAGGAGATGAGAAATTCACGCGGAAAGCATGTCCCGGTAACCACTCGCCTGAAGGATTTACGAAGACTTTCGAGACACGTGTGCCTCGCTCGATCGTGAGAGAGAGAGAGAGCGCACGCGCGAGTTTTCCACGCGGAGGAATCTTCTTTGCATTTTTCCGCCGCCTCGTTAAGTGCCGACGATAAGGCGTTTTAATCCCCGTGCGGCCGCGATGAATCGCGATTTATCGCGGGGCATCTTTAAATAACGCATTACGTCGTACAGGAGTGACATATCCACTTACCGGTGTTATCGAATGCGGGGAATTGATTTATCTCGTACGCGGGAGAAGCCGACAGCTATAAGCATCTCGTTACCTCGCTGAAACTTCTCAGCGTTCGCTTCATTCCCCGCGACTTCTCTGCAGACTCGCGGTGGACCGGTACGCACACATAGAGAGAGAGAGAGAGAGGAGAGAGAGCTCGTTTAAACGAATTGATACCTCGGCGCGCGAGGCTCGTCGCCGGACAACAATAACTCGCGGAAGATACTCGCGCGCGTTCATACGGTACCGCGCGAGGGTATCTCGGGCTGCCATCACTAGCCGGAATTATTATAACCACACGGCGCGCGCGCGTACTCGGTGGTACTTTCCGTTGTCGAGCGACTGAATGGCCGCCAGGTGGGAAGGCCCTTCCGTCCGCAAGAAGGACGCTATTCGTCCTCCTTCTCGATTATTACGGTGCGAATCAATCGGTCTCCGAGAGCCACGGAGATAGGTACTCTCTGTCTATCTATCTGTCTACGTCTTCCTCTCTTTATCTCTCGTTTCCCCCCGTCTCTCTCGGGTGTTCTCGCATTTACGTAACAGGTGGCATCGAAAAGTACGAGGAGGCAGGACGTAGGACGATTGCCTCGTACACAAAGGAGCCATATGCTCCTTTCGCACGCACGACGCGGCGTTCGCCGCTCGCGCGCGTCACTCGTTGCGTGCGAACTCGCGGACTCGAGAAGACGACCTTCCTACGTGGCGGCATCGCACCGTCGCTTCACCGCCCGGTGCATCCGCGAATCCCCCGGTGAGCTTTGTGTTTCCGTCTAGCGAGAAACGGCGAAACGTCGTCTCAATATCGATCGACTATTTAATCCTCTTAATAGCGACAGATAAGTACCTCCCCTCCTTCCTCCCGGCCGCGGTATTTACGCGGAACTGGTCTGATCGTTAATGAGATTTCACGTGCGCTCACGTACGCTTACCGTGGAGACATCTTGCTAGCAGTCCACACGGGCGCGTGCGCGTGCATGCGATGAATTTGAAATGCGGACAAACGTTGTTATTAGCCGCCTCTCATCGGGATCACTGTGAAAACGTTATTACAATTTGTTTACCGCGCCGTGTGTGATTTGGTAAGTACCACGCTGAATATTATATATTTCGTATTTACTCATTAGCGGAAATAACGGGATATTGTTTTATACAATTAACCTCGCAATTATCATTATACGTTGCAATAAAAAAAATAGATGTGTGTGTATGTGTGTGTGTATACGCATGCATTGCGTGATGTGCGGCGATCTCGTACGGGTTGCGTGAAAGCCGGTATGCATTAAACGGTGATTACATACCGGTGGAAATATCGGTGCTCCGGTTATCGGCGCGCTCGTGAAGAACGTCGCGAGCCGATTATTATGAATTCGTTCGGTCGTTACTGTTTCCCGGGAAAGCGGCCGAATTTTTATTCGTCTTTACGGTGTGCCCGGCAATGAAATCCCCTTAACGAGAGAGAAAGAGACCCCAGCGATGCCTTTCTCTCTCCGGATCCGCACGCATCGCCGACGCGGCGGATTCCGTAATTTATTAGCGTACCGGCGCGAGAGACCGGCCGCCTTATTGCGGGGCGATTTTATTGCGGGCCAACCGGCAATCGCATTCCGCGACTTTTTTTTGCGCGCGTCCCCGAGGAGAAACGCGACGAAAATGCGGCTGTTCCGCGTTCGCCGCCGCCATTCCTCACCGCAACCGGGGGCTATCTCGTCGCGATCGATCGCTCGTTGATCCATTCGCCGGCGGTTAACCGAAACTCATAGAGAGCGCCGATGAGACCTCGGTTGCGCCTCAATCGCTTTTGCCGACGTGCCGTGTACGTACAGGGTGTCCTCGTCGAGTCGGTTATCTCCACTACTACTATCGCGTTGCTACACCACGTCGTTTAGACGACATCCGTCAATCTTCACCACCGCCTCGGTCCCGTGTGTGAAAAACTCTCGAACGAGATTTCCACGGTTCGCTCGAGGGAAACTTAATTTTGCAAAAATGCACGCTCCTCGATTGTCGCATGATATACATATACACGTGTGTACACGAGAAAGGGATGCCGAGGTTTCTGCCGGAGAACTCGAAATTGGTCGAGAAATCTGTATACAAAAGGAAGCCTGGGTCGCTTTATATCTCCTTCCGCCGGGACTCCGGCGAATTGATTCCGTACGAATACGCGCGACACGGTCGGATTCCGCGATTCATGCTCGTCTCAATAAGCGATCCACGAGGTACGTCCTTCGGGCCGTATTGCGAAGTCATCGCTCGGAAAGGGAACGGAAATGGACTCGATACTAAATTAGGTGGACACTCCCGCTCCGCTTCGCGGCGTTGTTGAATTAATTTCACGTGACGGGGTGACGAGGGTGCGCGGTTCAAAAGTGAATCTTGATGTATAAATATTCCCCGGCGGAACGAAATGGGAATGAGTTCGCGGCGGAGATTAACGCAATCTCGGCATATTCGCGCTGCGCCCGGGATTTCGGACTTGCGCGGCGTATGGACTCGTCTAATTTGGACTCGTGCGCGATTTATTCAGCGCGAGATTTTCCGTCCGAAATGTGTCGAGCCGTTACGGAAATGGGAGAGAGAGAGAGAGAGAGAGAGTTTTAACACCGGACTGTACGGTGAAAATGCCGGTTGCGCGCGGAATTTCGTCGGAGACGTCGAGACAGATTGAGATATACACACCGAGCCGCCATTATCTTAAATAATGTGCCCTTTATCGCGTAATGTGCTCCCATTATCCCGCGGATTTCCCGGTTAATCTTTTTTCTCACCCCGTGCGTGCAATTCGCGCGCGTTAAAATGACCCGCTGCGCCGTCGGCTCCCGGTTTTATCGGCGACCCGAAAGTTTCCCGGCGAAATGGCGGCATCTCGAGATCCTCCGTCGCGCTCTTCCACACATCTGAAGTATTCTTTTGAGTTCTCGCAAACTGACTTCGCCGGAGAAAGTAGCATTAGTGAATCGAACGATTTATCGTCATTTGTGCGTCGCGCCGACGTCGAGCTCGGTTTGCTCACCAAGTTTTGACGACTCTGCCGCGAGATGATTCCTCGACCCGCATCGATCTGTACACATTTGCCGTTGAACTTTCCTTTTTCATAATCCATTTATTGTCATTTCTCACTGGCGTTCAAGATTTCAGTAAGATTTGCAAATTCCAAATGAGGAAAGAGTTGTACGAATAAAATAGCAACAATGCTGTGCACTATTGGACATTTAAATTCAGATCCGGTGCAATATTAATCGTTCTTTAAATAGAAGTGAATAGAGGCGACACGTTGGTAACTTCGAAATAGACTCGTGGAATATCTTGAAAACGTTGTGATTGTATGATCTATCGGCCACCGTACGTGCGTGTTATTATTTGCCGGACGACAACAGTTGGCGATTGGTGAGGCAGGGAGAGGGGAAGGGGAGCGCGACTGCTCTTCTTACCGATTGTTTTGATACTGTCGTGCGTCGCGTATTTTTTCCACGGCCGAATTATTGTGTCTCGACGAGCGACGTACATATTGTGACACGGAGTACGTAATGGTGTGTGTAATTACATTTGTAAATAAGAAGTCTTATTTCCTGATTTTCAACGTTATGTTGCCTGAAGGCATTCGATTTAACTTTCGACTTCAAAGTTCGATTAACCCTTTGAGTACTGAATTATTTTAAGATTTTTATGCCCATGGGACGGATTTAATTTGTCGCTATATGGATTAATATGTAAAAGTAATACATTTTATGCCCAAGTAAGCAGATGACGAGTCTCACTCGTCAAATGTACCGAAAGGGTTAAACATATTTACCTTCATCCTCCGATTTACATCGGCGAATTCGGAATACTTATTTATGAGATAAGCGAGCCATTTTCGTATCAGTTTTCTCCGTATCCAGCGGGATCATTTATTTCCGACATCCGTTGAATTATACAAAATCTCCGCGCTGTGAAGAAGATCCGATATACATCGAAGCCTTCTAAGCGGCGGGTTGTAACGAAATTTACCGGGGTTATCGCCGGCGCGAGGGATGCATCGGCACGGGTTTCTCAACTTTATTGCGGGAGGTACTTAGAGCCGTTTTCAGCGGCTGCTTAAAGATGCGGAACGCTCCGTGGAGTCTAGCGAAATGATATTCACGAGGTGGCGCGAGATTTATTCAAATTCTTCCCTTTCCGGCCACCCCCATCCTCGTCTCCTCGCTCTCTCTCTTTCTCTCTCTCGCGCGCGCGCACACCTTCTCGTTTCTGAAACTTTTCCTCCACCGTGAGAACGTATGCCGGAACACAAAGGATCTTCTTACGCGGGTAGGCGAGAAAAAGGCGCGGAACCTGCCGCAGGAGAGAGTCAGCTCGCCGGACGGAGATAAGCGAGCGACCATAAAGGAGATAAAGATTTGTTTGTTTGGTCTAGGCGACGAGCTGCCGTGGAACGCGCACACAGTGTTCGCTTTTTATTCTTATTTCGTCTCCTATCTCCTCGCACAACGCCGGTCGGCTCGAGGAGAACCCCAATCCCCCCCACCTCCTGCTCATTCTCCTCCACCTCTTCCTGTTCCTCTTCCTGTACCTCTTATTCGAGCGGGTGACCGCAAGATTCCGGTGAAACGGAAGCGGCGAGTTCACTGCGCCCGTGCATGCGTCGAGCCGGCCGATCGAACAGCCATATTTAGTCTTCGCGCTACTCGGACTACTCTTGAAAAAAAAAAGGAAGGAACGGATCGTAATAGCGAAGTCGAGCCATTAATCCTGAACTCGACAAGGTGCATCCTCACTCGGAGGATGCATCCTTGTTTCCCGTCGCGCAGCCAAGCGTCTCTCCGCGCGTGTTTTCGTGGAGACTTTTGAATGAGTGAAAATCACACGGTCACCTGTTATTTTTTCTTCCTGTGCTTGCAATCTGGTTAAGTGTATTTTCACCTTTCATATCGATCGTCACGGCGCAAAAATGGCATTTGAAATGAGAGAAAGTCTCGAAAGTTTCGTAATATAATAGCTCTCGAAGTCGCTCTATTTCCATTTAGCGCCTGAAACGATTGCAAGACGATGCTTCGTTCTTCCGATGTCGCGATTTTTCGCAATATTACCGGTCGATTTGTCGAAAAACTACATTTCCACGCGTAGATCCCTCTGAAAGGACGCACGCAACTTGACAGTCGAGCGGTACACTCGAAAACCGGCGACAATAGCAGATGCATTTAATTGAAAAATAAAATAACGTAAAATCGAATGCGTACGGGAAAGGCAAGAGAGAGATTGGATGGGGGGAAAAAAGAACGAATGAAAATAGAGGAAACACGAAAGTGAGTTTCCTCCGAATTCCTCCGGATTCCTTCGAATTTCGTCGTGTGTACACACACGCCGCGACGCGCCTGCGTCCGTGAACGTGCCGCGGCTATGTGGATTCAATTTTTGCGTCACAAAAGAATCGTGGCAAAGGGCGACAAGGGGAAGCGAGCGGGCGAGACGGGGAAAGCGTTCGAGGAAAACCCATTCGCGCAAATTGGATGGCCTCCTCTCGCCTCGGCCATTGGAGTGAGCCTCGCAATTAAAAAGTTTTGCACGGCGTAAAAAAAAAGAGTAAAAGGGGGGAAAAAAAGGAAAAACCCGTGACTCGTACGTGGTGTAAATGTGGCGCAGTTTCGCGGGATTTTTTTCCTCGCTGTAGCTCCGGAATACGAAACGGCCGGGTGTGAAAAAATACTCGCGCTCGATTGTCGCGGAAGATAGAAAGTTCGATCGTTCCGCGTTTCGCGGGCGGAAGACGTATGGTTCGAGCAAGAGCGGAAAAAAAATCAGAGCACCGGAGGCGCACGGGCGTCCGTCTAGTTGCGCGCCGGTCATTTGTTTTGAGTACGGTGTGTTCTTTTTTTTTTTTTCCGGAAAAAGTTGATACCGAACCTCTCCCGAAACATTGTCGAAGTCTGTTAAAAACTCGACGATTGATCCGAACGTATTTTTATCTTCTTCTGTTAGTTCGCGTGCACGTAACTTTGCGATTCGTGCTGAAATTTGTTTTAGTTATTTTATAAATACGCGCGAAACAGAACCAACTGTTTTGCAGTTCGTAAGCTCGTAAGCTCTAGTGTTCGTTAGATTCGCTCGGGAGTATCTGAAGCGACAGTCGTCAGACATCGTTTTGCAACAATGAAATAATTTAACAATGAAATAATTCCCTCGGGCTGAATTTTCACCGTGGGTTGAAACCGGTTGGAAATTTTCGCGAATTCAGATTTCCGTGTTGTGCGGGCGAAAATGATCTCCGCGTTTATTCACGACAATGGAAACGGCGCCAACCGTTGTGAGGCCCTCAATTTCAATTTTAAAGGACGAGTCGCGCTCGAGAGTCCGATAGATAGAGAAAGAGATAGATAGATAGATATACAGATAGAGAGAAAGAAAAAGAGAGAGAGAGAGAGAGAGAATACAGTCGTCTCGCTATTGCTAGGCTTCCTACGTCAATCTGTGTACACTCACTGAAGCCAACATCAACGGCGTCGAAGTGTATCGATCGAATCTAATCGCCGTGATTGAAGCCCCGATTGAAATCCGATATTCCTGTTTTTCCGCTCGTAATTTTACGGGGGACGAAATCATCGATATCGCGCATCTTACGGCGAACAATCGACGGATACGACATCGAAACGAAATTGTGGAACGCCACTTTTCGTGTCGATCTGAAAAATCCGGTTGGCGCTTCCGACGATTACAATTATACTTTTTTCCCTCCCTACGCCGCGCTTCTTTCTCTCTCTCCCCTTTTCTTTCTCATTCGAGCGTAACCTCACTTTCGCGCCTAGGAACAGTTAGAAGCAACATTGCGGAATACCGTAAACCGGACTTACTGGGGCGTGGAATAGTAATTGCCGGAATAACGACGATACGCGCGTAATCGATGTGCAAGCCGCCGCCGATAGCGACCTCGACGTTATATGAGAAATGAAAACAATCGAGAAATAATTGAGACTCGCCGAGAGAACCGTGGGACCTTTGATGATCAATGTGCGTTTCAAGATCGTGATTTCAAGAGTTTAATTTCATGCGGTTAATTCCTTTTTTTTTTGTTTTTAACGGTGACTACATTCTTGGAAATTGTACATTCAGCGTATATATCTTCTATGTGTACACAGTAAAAAATTGTGTATAAATAACGATCCATTGAAATTTTTTATTTACTTTAACGTAGGAATATGCCAAAATGTACATAAATGTACGTTAAATTAACGTGCTCACTTTGTTAACATGTTACTTTTTAATGTATTTATCTTGTTAAAATAATGTCGAAATTTCAATGGACCGTTACACAAAATTTTTTACTGTGTACATGGTGATCGTGTGATGGCCCTTTTTTTGCAAATATAACAGCACCTTTTTAGAGACGGTCGAAAATAGCGACTTAATTATACGTCGTGGATATCGACATTCGGAGTCGACATTCGGAGTCGACATATTCTGCGCGAGTTGTCAGTCGATTGAAACATAGATCACGATATGAATTATGAGGACATTCACCCGTCTCGCGATTAAATTTATAAATCGATCTGGCCCGTATGAGTTATTTCTAATTTAGCCGGCGGCGAACGCGTGCATTTAATTTTGCAATAACGTCTGGCATCGAAAGATTGAGTCGCTGCTTGCGTACGGACTTATGAATAGTCATAGAAAGTTGACTCTGCTCTCTTCGCCTCCTTCCTCCTCATTCAGCTGTATACATGTTGTATAAATAGTTGAAGCTTTCAGAAATTTGGACGTAAAATAAGTCGAAAAAGAAAAGACGGTATTGGGAAACTGACAGCGAAAATAACGAATTCTGTTATCACAGCATAGATTTTTTTATTCCTCCAATATTAAGGTAGTTGCAGCGCTGAGCGCCGTATTTTCAGCTGCGCGTCGAGGGGGCCACTCATGAATTGAGTATTTCTAAAGCAAAATTACGTTCCCATACATTTATTTCACTACGTAAATAATAAATACTGATTTGAAACGAAATCGAAGTAGATACACAATATTACAAATACGAAAATATTATTCCTCATGTTTCTTATTAATGCAATTTTTATGTATTAGTTGATCGAATAGAGATGCACTGATAATAGAAAAAGGTGAAAGGTAAATGTATAAATATAAAAACCGAGTAAGGTCTCTCATTAATCTTCCGGCACCGTTAATACATTAGAAACTTCCTAACCTCATAAGGAACACGCGTGATCAATTAATATTTTTCGTTCGCGAAAATTATACGATGCGCCGCAACGAAGAGAAAACAATAAGTCGTAGATCGGAGAAAAGCGTGCACGACCGTCGTGAGCGATTTTATCGCGGTTACGGGTGAATGAACGGTCGGTTGGCTAAAAATTCGGTACATTACCACCACCGGCACCACGTCGTCGGCAACTCGATCTCCCGGAAACACCTGGCGGAAGCTTTTTGCAGGATCGCCGATCGCGCGCGAGAGAGAGGGGCAGAGCACGTATTGACGTCGGCGTGTCATATCCGTGTTAGACCGCGGCGGCAATAAGAAACATTTTCTCGTTGGGTTTCTGCTCGAGCGGCCGACGGAATCGGGTCGAGTCCGGGGAACGCACGTTGCGCTCCGATAGAGTGCACATTATGCAAGTGCATCGCCGCCGAGCGCGCGGGCGCATTTTGCGTCTCTGCACTCTTAAAACGCGAGTACCCCGCCTTCGCCGGACGGCTCGTTATTTTACGCTCGTTGCGTTCCGCTCGCCTTCGCGTTGGCTTATTGTTTCGGAGGGAAGGAGAAAAAGTCGGAGAATTCTATTATGGTGCGAGAGCGTATCTACCCTCAGGAGGGGGGGGGGGCATACACCGATATGATGCATGCGCGTATTAACGAAGTGCTAGGAATGATGTAAACGTGAACCGTGGAGAGAACGGTTTCGGAGGATAGAAGGGAAATTGAGAAAAATATTTCCGCGGTTCGGTGAGAAAATTTCCACCAACCACGGTCACGTATCTCGCGACACTTTAGATGTTATTCGGAGGATCGTCGGGTCCGCTAAACGTAGGAATTCCAGACATTCGTTAATTCGATATTGTTGCCGCGGTTAACCGTGAGAGAGCACTTAGAGGCTGAATTTTCCTGCAGGGCTGAGTTTCGGTGTATCACATTGTTCTTAGCGTTCCGAGCAACACGAGGCGTTTCCATAAATAAATGTAAACGCGCAATCGGACGATGTAATCTCATGGTTGCGTATTTAAGTTTGAATCGTGGATAATTGATGAGGAAAGTGAGGTGTATAAGACGTTAAAATATTGTGTTATTAGATAGGGATAAGATCAGTGAGAAGGGGGAGGGGAGAGAAGAAAAAGAAAGGAAGGTGAAAGAAGTGGCGGAACACTCGCGGGAATTTCTTGTCAACGTTTCAACGAGAGGGCAAACTTCGAAGTCTTTCATACGTACTTTTGTGAATCGATAGTTAACTGTTTGCAGTTAATTGCGAATCGAGGACAGAACCGCTCTAATAACGTCGCGATGCGACATAAAAATATCGACACTTCGATTTTATTATTTCGATGCTTTGACGTTATCGTTTTTCGCTTGTTATCTCTGAGAATATGATAATTACTTACGCTTTCACCACACCGAGTTATCGCCCTTCGAAACCAAATGTTGTTCATTAACACTAACTATTTACTAAGCGAAAGGTAGTTTCAACTAAGTGACTACACCAAGTTTTCTGCATGGATTATAAATAACTTTTATTATTACACTTTTGGATTAATGTGATTATTATATTGTTCACTTACAATCTATAAAATAATTAGTTATATTGTCTGGTTACATATGTTTTAATCTAAATCTCGCCGGTACTGTCACAGCAAACACGATGCAAAAGTTCGCTTCTTAGACAAATACGGGCAACACGATACTCTTCTTGTAGTCCTCAAACTTGTTATCGTGTAACTCCGATTTGTCGATCACCGTTTCCAGTATCATTTGGATATTGTCTTCTTTAGCCGATGTTTCAAAGTAGGGAATATCCATCAACCGGCACCAAGTTCCTACTTCTTCCGTGGAGGCATGTCTCGTGAAGTCGGGAGTGTCGCTCTTGTCTCCGATTACGACGAAGGGGACATTACCAGCTTCTCTGATGTTTATCCGGTAATTGAATATATATCGCCACATTCTTAACTTGGCGAAACTGATCGGGTCGCCGACTCTGTAATTCAGCACACAGATGTCTGCGCCAATACAGGATTTCGGGACCCTGATCTCCTGGATGGTCTTCTTGCCGATGATCTTGCAAATCTGTAGCGTATATTTCTTGTTTCTCTTTTTGATGTGCCTGGTCAGGATTTTCATTCCGATGGTATGAATGCTGCTCCCGTTTTCCCCTTTTCCCGTCGGTTCCTTCACAAGACAAGACTTCTCCACTTCTGTGTCTCCCAGTACCACTATTTTCAGCAAAGTGGATGGAGGATCTTCAACGTCACGAAGCCTGTAACTGCTGCCTATGGTCAACGTAGACATCGTCGTGGATCTCAAAAGACAGCCAGGTTACAGAGTTAACCTCTCGGTTACAGAGTTAGACTTCGGACTGTTTGGTTTTTCCCTGAGACGAGCTTTTATACTATCCTGCAGGAAAGATTCTACCAAATTTTGGAAGGGAAGGGGAACTTTCCAAAGGAGAAGGAGGGCTTCTTCGAGAAGGTTCTGTTCTAAGTGTGCTTAGAAACGAAGAAAGGGTCAGCATGAAATTTTTCATTATCTGAAAAATGGTCTTTCACTTTTCCGAATAATTCACTTTTCAAGGATAAGATCCTTAGTCTTTTATATTCTTGTAACAAGGATTTCACTAAATTTCGAAAAGACTTTCCATTCTTGATCTGTCGAAGGGTAGAGTTCTTTTTTTTTCTACGCACAAGGAAAGAGACGAATGAAAGGTTGGAACTCTCTATTTGATTGAACTTGACATCACTATTCTTTTATAAATGGTTCTTTAAGGATTAACTTAATTATCACGCGCAATTTTCCACTCAGTCCATTAAATACCATTTCCTTCTCCAAAATTTTTCGGACATTTCCATTGTTTTGGGGTTCGATCGCGACGCTATCGGATGCGATGCGTGCGGTTGCGTGCGGCACCGTGAGACGAGCCGGATAACCAGAGTTCGATCGGAGGATCTTGGTTGCCGTACTTGAATTACCGCCTCAAATTCCGCGTCGGATTATCTTGCCGAGCGTCTGGATGAACGCCCTAACGGATCGGAGATCTTCCGCGCGGACGACGGATATCTTGTCGCGTGGCGGTAATACGGAACGCGAAACGGCCGTCGTCGCAATGCAAAACTAGCACGTAACAAACTGTACACGGAAAATGCATCAAAAACGCGGAAAGTGTAAGTTCCAATGGCGGTTGTATCGGGCACAAGTCGATGTGGACGATCGTCGTCGTGAACGATGTTCGAAGGACGGTCAACGGTGTCCGAAAAAAATCGTTATCAACGATGTAACGACAATGCGCGGTCGCGTTTGATCTCGATGGCAGTACTGGCGATACGCTGACCGAAGATCGGACACTTCTCGAAGGCGCGACTGACTTGAGATAACAAAGGATCGACGGTCCTAACTGATCTCGACCGACGTTTCACGGTCGCAGCTCGCGAGCTTCTAATGTTTTTCGAAGAAAGCATCGGCATCGCGTATCGATCAGGTGATCGCAGTATGCCGTGTTCCTATTTATTCGCGCGTGTTGTCACACGTGTCGCTGTCGTGAAGGTCGCCGTTCGCGAAGTTTCGACGTATGTGATCGCGTGTGATCACGATATCGCGAGCTCGTGAAGTTCAACGGTTCCAGAATCTTCTCGGAGATTTTCGGAAGAACCGTTCGAATGTCGCACATTCGTTGTCTTAAAAATTATGCTAATTAAGCTGACCTTTTGGATTCCACTATTTATAGAACGGTGAAGTGCCGTTTTCTGAACAGTGGAAAGTTATGTAAAGTAATTTTCTCTTCGTCTCTTGGCGTTAATGTCTGACATCAAGTCCCTGTTAGAAATTACGGTATGTGTGTCGGTTTCGTGGCGCAAGTTGCGATTGATACTTTTTTTTGTTGTTTTTTTTTTTTTTGTAAAATTGGATCGATCGGAATCGAACGTGAGCTACCGCATTGGTGAGCCGATGCGAAACATCGGCGTTCCGTTCTTACTTGATTTTTAACAGGAAAACTTAATAACAGACGTGTACGCGATAGATCGTTAACGGTAAACCGCGTGAACATGAAACTATCCTTGAAGTATGTAAGGATTTGCCGATCGGAAATTGTATAGAGCCGTACAAAGTTATTTCAATCGTGCTTTCTTTTTATCGTATAATTAAACGTAGATTTTAGTTAACGAAATCAGGTTCGTGAAGGTCAATAATAATTTCGCTGTAATTTACTCATAATTTTATAGCGGAAACGATGGGATACGGTAATGATGCTATAATAAAGTCGTTATGTATTTTTTCTGTGCTGTTATAACATAGTTCGCTGTAATATCGCTGTATTATCGTGAGACTCGCGATATTCGATATATTGCTTGTGCGCTTTACAAGTTAAATCTTCCAAATTATCCAACTTCGGTGCTATTATAGTTTAAATTTTATCTCATTTCTCGACATCGAACTATGTTGCGAAACTCATTGCGGAGCATAAAGATCTTTCGTTTGAGTCGCTTACGTCTACAATATTCAATTATTATTATTTAAAGTTACATAATTCCTGATTTTTTGTTTAGCATCTCCTCAATATTTACATACCTCATATATCATGTAGAAAGTGGCATTTTGAGCAATGGAAATGGCATTCTTTGAAAATTTCCATTGCTTTGAGTTAATATTTCACGACATTTTGTAAAGTATAAAAGAATCTAAACCTGTGGAAATTTAAAAATAACATTTCACCATTTTGTATAGAAAGGATAAAGTTCACTTCCAAGGTTAACTTCCGGTTCTTTCATGTTTACTTAGGGGCTCTTGTGGGCCTTATCTTTTGCTAGAATCTTAAAGTGCCTTTTTTCTCAGTTCACTAATGCGTTTTTTTCTAACTCTTACTTTTATGCCGTACTTTCTCTTTTGTTAAATGAATCGGCTGTATTTCCATTTATAATACTCACGTGTTGACTATATATTTTAAATCACCTTTTTATTCTATTCCCTCTTTTCTGTTCTATTCCATTTTAAAGCGACGTATATATATGCTTCGTACTCCATGCTAGGTATGAAGTATTCTAACGTCGAACCTGGTCGGGCTCTTTTGCGGTTCGTAACGATGCAATCGAGGCGCGGCCTTGAAACGCTTTTATTACACGGCAGAACGAATTGTCTCACTGACACAATGGAGTCATCCCGGTGGCGGATTATTACAGAACGATTATGGTTCCGTTCGTGCGCGCTATACGCCATCACAGACCGAGCAATAAAACTCTCCCTTTATCTCCGAGTACTTTCTATTACGTTACGAAGTTCCGGTTACAATTACGTTCGCGTAATCGACAGCGATATATTCAGGGATTTCGATTGATGGAAATTCCACTAACTGACGAAAACATAATAGTGCATTTAATTATTGATTAACACGGAATTGATCGACATGGAACAATTGTACGCTGATACTTACAATTTTTTGTTATTAAATTTTTTAAAAATATCTTTCAATTTCTCTTTTTCATTCACACTTTTCATTCGTTCCAACTAAAATTTATATTAATATTTTTCCTGTAAATTCAAGTTTTTATATGGAGTGAAAATATTGATTTTAATATATGTGTTTTAGCGTAATATAATGTATTATAACAAGCGTTTAATAATTTTCGTAATAGGCTTAGACTCCCATAGTGACGATGGTCACAACAAGAAAACCGGAGAGCAAATTGAGCGAATTACAAACGCGCTCGTATCGATTCGCTTACGTTCGCGATCATGTATTTAGATTGTCAGGCATTGATGTTGTGTAATCTCGTGTACTTTTTATCCGTGACGCAACTTTTTGAGTCCGCTCCAAATCACCTCCCGTGATTATACTAATTTTTTCCTCGTGTCGTGAAAAGAAAATGCACCTCGTGTATGTCGGGGAGCCTGCGGGTCGTACATCCGTTACAAAGATTGTTTCGTGTCGACCGAGTTTTCTCTCGCGGTATCGATCGAAGCGTGGCTCGTTTATCTCGCCTTTTATCCGCGCATCGATCTCGTCGCTTCGGAACGCCCACGATTTCGAGGCCGCTTTCCAACTTTTTTCTGTCCGAACTTTCTCGAATGATTTTCGATCAATTTTTATTGTTCGCTTTACACCGGTCAAATCCCCTCTCCCTCCTCCCGTACCGACAATACTAATATCTCACTTTCTATAATGATATCGCCGCTCGTATTCTTCGTCGTTCGCGACTTTCTCTTTCCGATTCTTTCTTTTATCCATGAGACATTCGTTGTTCCGGAGACTATTATTTTCTCGCCGGTGCAGACTAACGGATATTATTCTCTCAATTAATTTCTCTCGGTGCGTGTCGATGGACCGAACGGATTTCGACGCGGATACGTTCGCTCGAGTTTATCCCGCGTCATTTCCCACGCGGTATCGTTCATCGTCGAGTTGCTCTTTGGTTCCCCCGATGAGTTTGCCCTGTGACAAACAATAAACACGCTTTCCCGTCTTTCACCGCGCTGATGTTTCCAGCGCATTAGGCTGCTTGAAATAATAATCGGGCCGCCTCTTCCTTCCGCTCGCCATCGCGCCGAATAATCCGACGTGCCGGCGAAATTCACGCTCCGATCCCCGCGAATCCCAGTCCAGTTTTTCGTCCGACGCTTCGACGGGCGCGGCTCAAACAAATGCAAATCCGTTAAGCTCGGGACTAAGCTCGGGCTTTTATCGAAAAAAAGCTGTGCCCTCGAAATCGGCGGCCCTTCGCGACGACGAACCGCAAGCTCGGTGCCATCGAGGAGAAGCGACGCTTTTTAATCCCTGCGAACGCGTCCCGGAACCGGCGGCTTTCCCATCCTAAACGTCCGCATAAATACGCACGGAGAACGGTGAAAAGGTGCGACGCGGAGAAACAGCGAGAAATAGAAATAAACCGATAAAATGAATCTGCATACACAGGCTGGGCACGCACATAGCAACTTCCCTTTCGTTCGCGGATGTGAAAAAATCGCGAGAAAATTCGATCATCGGGATAAAGGTCGAGCGTGCAATCGTGCAGCATTCGATTGGAAATTGTCTCCGTGAATTTCTCGCCGTCATTTTCGCAGGAGCACGTCGCGAGCGAAGTGATCGATCGATCGGTCGGTCGACCGGCAGTTGGTTGCTTGCCGATAGACGCGAGCCTGTATCGCGTCTTCGACGTTGGGGCACCGTTGAGATATTCGCCGGAAGAAAAACGCCGCGTGCAGAAAATGTCACGACATTTAACTCCCCCGATACAAATAACATTCCGGTTGAAATACCAATCCGGCCGGCCGACACGAAGGCCGACGATCCTGGCAAGCCTGCA